CAAACTTTAAGTAGGAAGTGTGTTTTTCTCTATATTATTAACAAGGGAATTTTTAATTTTTCAATAATTTTATTATCTATAAAACTGTACCTGCTGTTCTTTTTAGGGAAAAACAACAAAAGTTAGAAAAAAAGATTACAACTCGAAGGTATATAGAAGAGTTTCAGAAAGAGCAAGCTCTCTGGAGAAAAAAGAAACGTGAGGAGATGGAAGAAGAAAACAGAAAAATCATAGAGTTTGCAAACTTGAAGCAGCAAAGAGAAGAGGATAGGATGGCAAAAATCCAAGAAAATGAGGAAAAAAGACTGCAGCGCCAGAATGAGGTATTAAAATAAACTCTTCTTTAACAATGTTGAAATTCTGAAATATCAGTGATAGACTTGGAGTCATATTAATATTTGCTTTTTAAACATTTAATAGCTAACTCAGAAATTGGGAGAAATGCTACGGCAACGTGAAGATTTGGAACAAGTGCGACAAGAATTATACCAGGAAGAAAAAGCTGAACTATACAAGAAGGAACTAAAAGTAAGTTTCAGAAGTTGAAAGAATGATTAACCTAGAGGGAGTATAATTCTGAGACAAAACAGTGGAAAGATAGATTTAAATCCAGCCATACTGGTAATTACATTATCTATAAATGGTATAAACACAATAGTTAAACAGACTTTTCAAGCAGGATAAAAAGGTAGACCCAAGCAGCAGTTCACAAACTACATCATAAGAAGCAATAATGAATTATGTCGTCTGTTGTAAACACAAGTTAAATATGAAGACAAATACGAGGTGTCCCAAAGGTCTCTCCTAAAATTGCCATACATAGGAAAATTGGGAAATTGTAAATGTACTTTTATTTTCAAAATATTTGTTACAAACTCTTACTAAATATTTACAAAATATTCTTTATGTGTTAGCCACTCTTTGTAAAATTGTGTAGTGAATATTTTGGAAATAAAGGATCCATTTAGCTATAATTTCTCATTTTCTTTATGTATAGCAACCTTAGGGGAGACTTTTGGGATACCTTATAGTTTAAAAGCAAAAGGATAGAGAAAGAGACATATCATGTAAATACTAATCAAATGGAGGGGTTATGTTAATATGAGACAAAGTCAACTTCAGGACAAGGAATTTGTGATGGTGGTAGGATAAATTCATCAAGCATGTAAATAGTCATTAAGGTGTATGAACCTAAACAACAAAAGCTTCATGATATATCGAGTAAAACTGAAAGGAGAAATAGACAAATCCACAATAAGAGTTCAAGATTTCAGTACTCCATTTTCATTAATATGTAGACAGAGTAGTCAGAACCACAGGACTTCAAGTTGAACAACAATGTCAGTGAGAACACTCCACTCACAATAGCAGAGTACAAATTCCATTCATTTACACAAGAAATAGCACCAAGATCAATCATCTTCTAGAACATAACGTAAGTCTCAATAAATTTACAAGGCTTTAAATTATGCCAAATGTGTTTTCTGAGTGGAGTAGAATTAAATTGAAAATTGGTTATGAAAATATACTTGCAGAATAAATATATTGTAACTAAACAATATACTTAGAAATAAGTAATGAATCATAATGGAAATTGGAAAAATATTTCAAAACGAATGATAATTTAAAAAACCCAGCCTACCAAAATACTCTACATAGATGTAGTTGAAGCACTGCTTAAAGGAAAGTTTATGTCTTTAAATGTGTATATTAGAAAAGAAGAATGTTTAAAAACTGATCTATGTCTATGCAAAAACTTACACATAAATGTTTATGCAGCATTTTTCATAATAGCCAAAGGGTGGAAATAATCCAAATGTCTGTCATTTGATGAATGGCTAAAGGAAATACACTATATCCACATAATAAAAAGTTGTTCATCCATAAAAAGAATGACGTCTTGGTTGTGCTAAAACTTGGATGTACCTTTTATTGTATCTCAATTAAAAATAAAATGCCTCAAGGATGTTATTTAAATGTTATCAACTAATGTGTAATCTTTTGGTGTAATCTTTTTACTCAGCATAATTTCCTGGAAATTCATCAATGTTGCTTATATTAACACCTTGTTCTTTTTTATTGCTGAATAGCAGTCCATTAGTACGGACATACTGGTTTCTCTGACTATTCACTTAGTAAAGGACATTTGGAATGTTTCTGATTCTTGATTCTTATGAGGAAATCTGCTATAAACATTTGTTGCGGTATGGGTTTTTGTATAAACATAAGTTTTCATTTCTCTGGGATAAATGCTCAAGATACATTAGCTGGATTTTGTGGTATTTGCATGTTAGCCTTGTAATAAACGGCCAGGTTGTTTTCCGGAGTGGCTGTATCATTTACCATTCCCATCGGCAATGTATGAGTGATGCAGTTTCTCTGTATTCTCACCAGCGTTTGGTGTTGCCACAGTTTTTTATTTTAGCCATTTTTAATAGCTCTATAGTGATCTGCATTGTAATTTTATTTTGCATTTCCCTGATGGCTGTGATGCTGGACTTCCTTTTGTGTGCTTATTTGCCATCCTCTTCATTGTGATATCCTCTTTGGGGAAATATTTAAATATCTCTTCATGTTTTTGCTAATTTCCTAATTGGGTACTTTATTTACTTCTGGGTTTTCAGAGTTCTTTATTATTGTAGACACTAGTTTATCTATAATGACAGATTTTGCACATATGGAGATATTTTCTTGTAGTCTGCAGCTCTGTCTTAAGAAGGTCTTTATTAGAGCAATGTTTTCAATTTCTTTGAGGTTCAGTCATCAGTTTTCCTTTTATGGATCATGCTTTTGTTGTCAACTCTAGAAATTCTTTGCATAGATTGTTAAGAATTTCTCTTTTTTTTTCTAAAAGTTTTCCCTTATACATTATATATGTAAGTCT